TTTTAGCCTCCTTGGGTTCATCTTCCCTGGGGCTCATCTTTGGCTCCTCCATCTCCCCACCTGCTCCCACCCCCATTTTACGGTCCAATCATGGTTTAATAGAGCATCCCTAGGGACGACTTCTGTGTTTTCACCTTCCCACCCCCACGAACCACGATTCTCCTGCATAGTTTCTACCCATCCTAGTGTGAGGTCTCCTCCAGCAGGAGCCTTCCATATCCCCAGGGCCTGGGAACTTTAGCCAAGACCTTTATAATGCTGCTTCCTGTCCCTCTGTAGTCCCCAGTTCTTCATGAAAATTCCCTGCCTCTGAGCAGGGAGCCCCAGCCCTAATTAACACTCACACAGATGCATCATCCTGCCTGAGCCTCAAAGGCTGCTCAGAATTCATTAGCTCCTCTGCACCCAGAAGCAGAAAGAGAGCATGGCTGGGGTCTTAGGCAAGGAACCAAGGGCAGTACCCTCCACCCAAAAGCAGGTAAGAAAGCATGCCAAAAACACCACTTCTGTGCAATGGGCCCACCACAGCCACCACCACAACAATGGCTGCCAAAAAGTGGCTTGACACCATAGCAGCAGCCACAGCCACTGTGCAGGTAGCCCACTGGACACTTGACTGCATTGACACAAGGAGAGTCACCAGCAGAGACTGGAGAAAGAAGAGGATGTCTCTCTCCTCAAAGCCCACTCCAGAGTAATAGAAGAAACAGCTGCTCTACCAGATGACCAAACATCAGTGTAGAAATTCTAGGAATACAACAACCCAAGAAAATATGACACTACCTACAGAACACAGTAATTCTCAAATACCAGACTCTATAGAGCAGGGAACACTTCAAATGATTAAGAAGGAATTCTGAGCAACAACCTTAAGGAAACTCATTGAGATACGAGAAGACTCAGACAACATAATGAAATGAAAAAAAAAAAATACAGGATATGAAGTAGGAAATTTACAAAGAGATTAATACCTTAAAAAAGAATGCAGCAGAACTCATGAAACCGAAAGATTCATTCAACAAAATCAAAAACACAACCGATAGCTTAAGTGGCAGGCTAAAACAAGCAGAAGAAAGAATTTCTGATCTTGAAGATAGTCTTTTCAAAATAACCCAGGTGGCAATAAATAAATAAATAAATAAATAAATAACCCGGGTGGACAAAAAAAAGGAAAAAAGAATTTAAAAAAATGAAGAAAATCCAAGAGAGCGAGTGGACAACCTGAAGCACACAAACATTCAAGTCATGGGTGTTCCAGAAAGGGAGGAGTAAGTAAAAGGCACAGAAAACCTATTCAATGAAATAATAATGGAAAACTTCCCAGTTATAGGGGGAGACACAGACCTTCAGATCCAGGAGGCTCAAAGATTCCCCCAAACAGATTGAACCCCAAAAGATCCTCTCCAAGCCACATTATAGTCAAACTGGCAAAGCTCAAAGACAAAGAAGGGATCTTAAAAGAAGCAAGAGAAAAGTGTCAAGTCACATATAAGGGAGCCCCTATCAGACTAACAGCAGACTTCTCAAAAGAAACTCTACAAGCCACAAGAAAATGGGATGATATATCCAAAATACTGAAAGAAAAAAACTGCCAACCAAGAGTACTACACCCAGCAAGGCCATCCTTCAGAAACGAAGGAAAAATAGTGTACTTTCCAGACAAACAAAAACTGCAAGAGTTCACCACCAAAACTAACCAGCCCTATAAGAAATCCTGCAACTGGAATCTGAAAAATGATAATCACTACTACTAATACACAAGAAAGAACAAAACTCACTGGTAGAACAAAAATGCAAACAGGAAAGAGAAAGAAACTAAATCTTATCACCACAAAAAGCCGGAGTGACAATGTAATAATGTCCCTACTTCATTTCTTTTTTTTTTTTTTTCCTTTTTGTCTTTTTTCATGTCCAGCAATGGATTGCAACCCTCAGTGTCGCGCCCGGACTGGACCGGCAACGGGATCGCAACCCTCGGTGTCGTGCCCGCACCTCGCTCAGCCAGTGAGCGGGAACCAGTCTGTATGTGGGATCTGAACCCTCGGCGGGAGCGCCACCGCGCTCCCAAGCGGTGCACTGTAGCAGTGTGCCACCGGGCCGGCCCCCCTACTTCATTTCTGATTTTAGTAATTTTGCTGTTCTCTCTTTTTTCTTGGGTAGTCTAGATACAAGTTTGCAAATTTTGTTGATCTTTTTAAAGCATAAACTTTTGGTTTTGTTGATTTTATCTATTGTGTTTTAATTCCCTATTTCATATATTTCTGTCGTGATCTTTGTTATTTCCTACTTATATTTGCTTTTGGTTTAGTTTGCTCTACTTTTTCTATTGTCTTAAGGTAGAAGTTTACATTACTGATTTGAGATTTTTCTTATTTTTATTTTAGGTGTTTACAAGTATATATTTTCCTCTAAGCACTGCATGAGCCCTGCACCCTATAAATTTTGATATGTTGTGCTTTGATCTTTATTTCAAAGTACTCTCTAATTTCCCTGTGATATTTCTTTTTACTCATTGTTTATTTAGGAGGGTGTTGATTAATTTCCACAAATTTGTGAGTTTTCTAAATTTCCCTCTGTTATTGTGGTCAGAGAACACATTTTCTATGATCTTAGTCTTTTTTAAAAAAAAAAAAGAAAAGAAAGAAATTTATACAAATAAAAAAGTTCATGGAAAGATTTCCATTATCTTTCAATTCTATTTTTCCATGAACTTTTTAAAGTGCACTTGTGTTTATATTCTGTTTTATTGATTTTTTAATGCAATTTATGTTGTTAAACTTATATATTTAATTTCTGTGCTTGATTTCTTTTTATTAATTGGATTTGACTTGCTTAGAAATTAATTTGCCTTTGAAAAGTTTATTCATCTTCCTCTATTGAAATTAATTTGATATTTGTATGCTTTGGGAAGACTTTAGAGAGCTATTTCAAATAACTGTAGAGATTATAAAATGAAATATGTAAATTTTAATGATTTATCACTCCAGTTTTGTGAAAATTTGAAGCCCTACTTTCTACAGAGTATTTTGTTATTCATCTATTATTTAATTTATGTATTTGTTATTTGAACAAATACATGTGTATATACTTAAAAAAAAATTAAGCCTGCTCATTAAAAAATTTGGAAGATACTTAAAAGTAGAAAAAAAGAAAACCATTGATCCTCTACCTCTCAGAGTGACAGAACTGACAAGTACTATGAACATGACTTTTTTTTAACTTAAGAAACGTTGTAATTTTTAAAAACATAATAAAATTCAGTCATAAATTTTAAAAAAAAGAATTCACTAGCCAACATGAAGCATAGCTGGTCCTTGATTCTTGCCCTCATCGTTCCTGCAAGTCCAGGGACTGGCTTTTCCCAGCACTGTCAGTGGTTGGAGCTCCCACCTGAGTCCCCTGCACAGGTGCCCAGGTGCCTCTGGATCTCCATTTCTTCCTACACAAAGTGAAGGGACCTGGCTGGAAAGGAAGCCCTGCAGGTGGCATTTTCTGTGAGTCCATGAATACGTTGAGCTCTAAAGTGGTGTCATTTTATAATTGTTGACCACAGATCTGGTAGCCTAACTGTTTTTATCAAGTGGTATCTTCAGACCCGTTGAGGCTGAGTGGCCCACCCAGCGTGGGCAGCACCGGCCGGCCCTCCCCAGGGCAGGCACAGGCACTGAAGGCCCCAGGGGACTGCCGGTTGTGGCTGGCATTCGGTCCTCACAGCCACTTGAGAAGTCTGCGCCTGAACCCAGCTGCTCTACATGGGGCCAGAGACTAAACAGGCCCCTAGAGAGCACACTCGAACCAAGCCTATAGCCGCCAACTGGCTTGAAAGGCTGGTTAGAGACACATTTCCAGTAGGGAACTCTTTGCACATCCACTTCGTTAATTTCCTTTCCTTAAGTACTGGAGAGTGTCGCGAGGAAGGAGCAGCGGGTGTTTTTCCAAACCCTCTGCTGCGAGAAGGATGCATCGAGCCCACCCTCACTGGAATCTTCTGACAACTCTCCCGGCTGTGCTTGGAGTGGGAGGAAGGAGACTTGGCCGCCATGGACCGTGAAGGTTAACAGGAATCCCATTACAGCACCCTTTTCCTCTGTCTCCCAGGCCCCCTTTATAAGATCTTAGAAATGTTTGCTAAGCTGCACTTTATTGAATATGGTTATTTTCCCAGAAGACTTTTAATCAGAATTGTATTCATGATTTCACCTCCTGGGGGCCAAAACATTTTCCTAGGATGAAATATCTCATTCCTCTATCCAAAGGAATAAAATTAAGGTTACTTCAGGCCTCCAGATTTTAAGATTTGGGTTGGCACGCCGTAAGTATGTGCTCCGATGTCCCCCATTCGTGCCCTCATCCCTTCCTGTTATTCTTGCTGGTTTAATGGTCTGTTTATAAGCTCTGTGCAGAAAGGACAGGGGTCAGCCTTGCTCCCCGTGGTATCCCCAGCTCGCGGCATGGTGCCTGGCCCCGAGAAGGCTCCCGGTAACTCCCTCCCCCAGGAGTGAATGAGTGGCCTCCCAGGGCTCAGAAAGCCAGCCATCCATTTTCTGAGCTCACAGCAGGAAAGGGGTTTCAAGATGACGAATGTTGATGTAGACAAGCTGGAGTCAACCTCTCACCCGAGATCTGTTTTGCAATCTATAAAGGGCAAAGGGGATCCCTTGCAAATATCTGTTAGGAGCCAAGAATTTGAACTAGCTACCCCGGCTGCTACAGTGGTGTGGCTTCTTTCCCAGCTGTAATGGTAAAGTTGTGTCCCAAGTTATTTCTGCTGAGTTCAATGCCCATATGCAATCTCTCAAAATGGGCTGGCTTCCAGAACAGGCTCTACGATGCTGAGGTTTGGCCACTGGGAGCCAATATGGTTCTGTGTACGTCAGGGGCATCACTTGGAAGCATCACTCCTGAGTGAAGGCCCCAGCCCTGAAGACCGCTCTCTCCCCCCACAACACCCCCTTTGCCACCTCCATCTTCTCTAGACCCACCGAGCCCCCACGGCTTACCACTAAGAGGATGGGGGACGGTGAACTGCTTCTTGTTGGTGCGGACAGGAAGGAGGCTCTGCTTCTGCCCCAGGCTCTCCTTCTGCTGTGCTTTTCTCTGCTGGACCATCAGTTCTAGCTTTTTCAGCCGTTCTTGTGAGCGAGAAATGAACTGAGGCTTACGGACTTCCAGTGCTTCCTAATTAGAGCAAAGAAAATATTTTATTTTGATGGGAAGTGACACAGAACGGCAGTGCATCGGTCTGATATGGCCAAGAAGTCGATCGAAAGTGCCACACTCAGAGAACAAAAGCCAAGGTGCAAAAGCACATCACAATTTTCTTCCACAGCTCATGTAAAGAGGGTAACAGAAGCTCTTCCCTGCTGGTGATGATGGTGATGATGGTGATGCCAGGGGCCTTGGCAGTCAGTGCTGGCCTGCACCGAGGGCCCCTCTGTGACACAATGGACCAGTGACCAGCATGGAGGCTGTGAGCACAAATGTCCACCCACTTGCCCTTCTACCTGGCAAGTCATTCATTTCCAACAGACCAAAATCTGAGCACCCTGCATTTGCACCCCAAGAGATGTGGCAGCAAAGGCTGAAGGGCGAGGGGTCGCCTGCTTCTGCCGGGGGTTGGAAGACTTACGAAGCCCAGACACAGATCATCCTCCCCGTGTGAAAAATGTGCCTTTTTAGGAGAACCCGTAACTGGCTAAAGGAGCAACTTCTCCTGGTAGAACAAATTGGGAGGAAATTTTGCCAATGTGGAATGGTTCTGTGAGCTCACAGAGCAGGTCAGAAGTCCCCATATGTCCACTGCAGCCTCATTTCTCCCACGTCTGTGCACTAAACCACCCCACGGTCTACTGGAAAAGACTAACACCAATGATAACGTTTTGCTCTATGCCAGACACTGGCCAGGAGTGAAGTCCCCATATGTCCACTGCAGCCTCATTTCTCCCACGTCTGTGCACTAAACCACCCCACAGTCTACTGGAAAAGACTAACACCAATGATAACGTTTTGCTCTGTGCCAGACACTGGCCAGGAGCCTTAGGTGTACTCAGTGTCTCTTGGAATCCCCACATCGATTCTGGAAGGCAGGTATATTTATTCCTATTTCACAGATGCAAACACTGAGGCTCATTGTTGTTTGATCACACGGTGACCCTCAGCTCTGCGAGTCCCATGCTTTTCCCGCCCTGCCTTTTAATGTCTTCACTTGCTATTTCTTCAATGTCTCTGCCCACGTGACTCCCCTGCCTGTAGTGCCTCCCACAGCCACACCCTCTCTCCCAGTCAGCCCTGTTGGACCTGCCCGGTCAGCCTGAGCATCGCGGTGGTCCACGGGCTGCCTCGTGCGAGTGATTCATGCATGTCTATCTCCATGCCAGGCTGGGAGCTCCTGGGAGACACAGACCCCATCTCATTGATTTCATGTCTCTCACAGCCACTGCCCGAGTTCTGCACATAGTAGGAGCTCCACAAAGGCTCGCTGGGTGTGCTGCCATGGCAGAAACGTTCCTCTGCCCCATTCTTTCCCCAGCCCTCAGGGGAGCTCAGAGCCACCTGGTACTGGGCACCATGAGGCCCAGGTCACAGGGTGTGCCGAAGCTTCAGGAGAGTTCCAGGCCTGGAGAGACGGCCCCCGGGAACAGCCCAAGGACAGCCCTGGAGGCTCAGGCTGCCTTGGAGTCACCATGACCATTTCACCCAGGACCCACTGAGGCCCCAGGGATGCAGGAGTCACCACAGGAGCCACCTCCACGTCTGCAGGGAGGTTTACAACCAGGAAGGGAAGGCGTGGCTGGCCATGCCATACACAGTTGGCAGGGCTCTCTCTGAGATGGTTTGCCCTCCTTGTTTTTATATCTCTATTTTTTGTGTACATTTTTTACAGTATACACATCACTTCTACAACTGAGAAAAGATGCTTCCATATCCTTCACCTCATGACCTCGTGACTTTGGACAACTTCCTTAATCTTTCAAAACTCAATAGCCTCTTCTGAAAACCAGGTTTGTAGGGGTTCCTGCCCCCTGGGGGTCTTGCAAAGATTGAAGGTGCTGTTGCCTATGAAGCGACCTGTGTCACGTCCGGGCACCTGTCATTGCTATGATCATTGTCACTATTGATAGTATTTGATCCTCATTCTAACCTGGTGGAGTTGTTATCATCTCCATCATTTAAACAATGAAACTGAGGCTCAGAAAGGTTGGAGGACCTCCCCAGAGAGTCACACAGCCACGAGCAAGGGAGTCGAATTCCCAGCCTCAGGGGCAGAAATGAAGACATTTGCCAACTGACTCCCAGGGAAGGTCTCCCCTTGGTGGGAATCGAGCCAGGATGCCCAGAAGGCCTCACCTGCAAGGTCAAGGAGCTGGCAGGCGTTTGCCGAGGCTTAGAACCGTCTTCCGATAGGTCAGGGGTCTCTGATCCCCTGGGGGCTGCTGGCGAGGGGGGCGCTGGAGAAGGCTCAGGTGTGGCAGGGCCCTCACTGTCCTTACATTCCTGTATGTTAACCACCAAGTCACAGCATGTGCAATCTCCTAGGAGGGAAGATTGAGAATTCCATTAGACACAGAAGACAATTCTGAAAATAGAAACGCCAGTGGGTGATTAATGGTCCTTGTTAAGCCGACAAGATTATGCCTCATCTCAGGCCCTCCCGGCTGCCCTGGTCACAGGGAGGAACGTCACAGTCCTCCAGACTTCACCACTGACTGATTTCGCCGCGGCGGTATTCCCTTGGCTTCTGATGTTTAGAATGCCTTTTCTCAAAAGGAAGTGAAACTTTTCTATCCTGTGCTTCCTATTAAGCAGGTCCTGTACAGTTGTTACAGCTCAGTTGTTTGGGACAGTGTATTAATCTCTCTGCGTTTGCTGCACTAATGGCGTAAGCACAGAGGAATGGTGCTCAATTATTTATTCCTCCCCTGAATTTGCCACCGGCTTGGCATGAGTAATTGGAATGACTTCTCTCTCAAGGCTGGTTTTGGCCTCTTCCTGGGGCCATTTTGACTTTCCTTTGTGGAAAAGATCAGGAAAGGAGTTGATTAACAGCACCTCGGGCAGGGCAGCCTCTGGGGTGCTGGAAGGGGATTGATAAGTGTTCACTGGCCACTTATGGACCCACGCCCCAGCCTGGAACATAAGGACAGATCCTTCAGTCCCTCGTTAGCCCAGTTCCCCTGCGCTCCCCACGGCCCCTTGCCCACCCCACACGGCCTCACCAAACCACAGCAGCCGTGGGTTTCAGAGGATGAACCCGAGAGTGGTCCTGGCTCCTCACCCCACATGGCTCCTCACCCCACATGCTCTCCCCTCTCCACGAAGCCCCTCTGGTTCCTCCACCTGGCCACCTCCCACCTCCAGGCTGAGTCCCAGCCTTCAGGAAGCCTCCCTCCCCCTCCTGAGGCAGGAGCCAGCCCTGCCTCTGCCGTGTTCCTGCAGGGGGGACCACACGCCACCCATTCGGCAGCCTCAGTTACTATGTGGGCTTCTAAGATGAGGTTTTAACCCACAAGCCTGTGACTCCCCGAGGGCTGGACCAAGTAGTATTCTCCTGTGTCTCTGCACAGTGCCAGGCTGGGTGCCAAAAAGGAGCTAGTTGTGTTGGGAGTGGAGAGGTGGCCATGGAGGCTCACCTGGCCGTAGGACGCATCTCCACGGCGCCACGGATCTCCTGTCTGAACCCTCTGCTGCTGGTGGACCAGCTGTTCTGCATACACTCAGAGCCACCTGTGTTCCCTACCACCTACCAGCCCAAGCCGAGCAGACTTCTCACGGCTTGTTCATGGGGGACATTCACCTCCAGCTGTCACCTTTATTCTCTACCAGCACCACACTCCTCAGTGGTTTTCAAGTCATTCTCTTTCATTTTCCTAAGCTCTTGTTCCTTCTGGAGGTTTTCCCTGTGTCTCCCCTCCCCGCCAGGCCTCATCACTAGCCCCCGGACCCCCCTCCTGCGGGTGAACCCCACCTTCCCCACATTCTCTTTCATTTTCCTAAGCTCTTGTTCCTTCTGGAGGTTTTCCCTGTGTCTCCCCTCCGCGCCAGGCCTCATCACTAGCCCCCGGACCCCCCTCCTGCGGGTGAACCCCACCTTCCCCCCACCGCCTCCATCTCCTTGCGAGCGTTCTGTCACTGTGCACAGGGAAGCCCAGCTTCTCTGCATCCTCCTGCAACCGTCCTCCCCGTGACCAGCCCAGCCACCCCAGGGCCAGTCCTAACACACCATCTTCTCTGCTCATCCAAAGATCTGTCTGCTAGATCCTGAGGCCCTGCCTCTTCTCCTGAGGCCCCTCCTGCCCAGTGACATCTCCCCGTGACCAGCCCAGCCACCCCAGGGCCAGTCCTAACACACCATCTTCTCTGCTCATCTAAAGATCTCTCTGCTAGATCCTGAACGCCTCTGCTCCTGAGGCCCCTCCTGCCCAGTGACATGCTCACTCTCCACTCCAGCGGGTGGCAGCCCCCCAGCCTTGGCCCTGTCCCATCTGCTTTCCACATTGCTCAGGAGACAGTTTCCTTTAGAGCGAATTTAATTATGTCTCTTCCCCTTCAAGGGCTTGGCCCTGCCTTCGGTTCAAACTCCCTTCCCGGGTTTAGAAGGGTCTTCCAACCTGACCCGCATGACTCGTGCAGACCCACGCCAGCTCCCCACCTCCCCTGAGCTCTGGCCCCCGGACTCCTGCAGCCCCTATCAGCCATGTCTTCCACTGGCTCCTTGCTCTGTGTTTGCATTTCCTTAGGCCTGCATGCACTTGGCCCTTGGTCTGATTTTTAAACCTCTCATCAACCTTTAAGTTCCTACTCAAAATCATTTCCTGGGGGAAGGTGCCTCTGCCAGACCCTCCTCCAAGGGTCAGGGGTTGTCCTCAGCTTCCCAATAGCCCACCCCACACACGGTTATGCTGCTGACTATCTCCTGCACTGGACTGAGAGCCTGGAGGGCAGGGAGCACCAAGCACATTGCCCGGCATACAGTAGGTGATTAATAAATGCTTCTCTAGTGGATTAATGAATGAAGAGCTAGGGATTAACTTGGGTTCCAAATGACATTATTTTTTATCAATTACCATAACCATTTTAACTTTTACAACCTAAAGCTATATAATCTGGTGTTTTTCTTTCTGTCCTTTTCCATAAGTTCTTTGAGAAAATCTTTAGAGTGAGAGAAAATCTAAATTTTCCCATTAATATAATTGGACACCATAGACCATTTTTCTATTCTATTCTTGTATTCTTTTGATATGTCATTGTTCGCCGCACCGTTTAGTAGTGGCCAGCAGCTTGACTTCCAGAGAAATGATGACCCTGTTCTAATTCTTGGTCCCCTCCTCCATGAGAGACTGAGACCAGGACCTACCTCGTGGACACCATCAGGTCCAGTGTGCTCATGCTTGTTAAGTGTTAGGACATGTGGTGCTGCGTCCCTCAGCCACGGTCCCTGCTGGTCAGTTACAGGGGACTTGGTGAGCCTGGTGGACCTGTTGCCTTCAGAACAGCCACACCAGTGTCCCTTCCTCAGCTAAGTCCAGGAGCCAGCCATGTGCCCGTCAAGACGAGGAACCCCTGACCCACGTGGGGCTGCCTTCTGGATGCTTGGGAGGTAGAAGACCCACCATTTAAACCTGCTGGTCCTGCCCCCTCTCTGCTGTCTGCACTGGGGAAAGGGAAGCTCTGTAAGGTGAGCCCACATGAACCAGGCCCAGGAAGAAGCAGTGCTGCTTTCCACGTGAACATCTAGAAAGAATTGTCTCAACCCGCCACCTCGCGCCTTACCTTTGGGGACCTCTCTTTCTATCTGAACACCACTGTCTTCCTGTGGAGATGTGCACAAATCTTGTAAGGGGCAAAGAAACCCAGGCAAAGGGCTTCTGGGTTTCAGGAGGCTCTGATGTCGTCCCTTCTGTGGGCTCAGAAAGGTCGCTAGACCGACAGTCATCACCTGGAGAACTAGCCCCATCGGGAAGGAAATGTCTAATGGGCTTCTGTTCCACCGGGGGAGCAAAGTCACACGGGCTTTTCCTTGTTGCTTCTTGCTGCTTCCAGGAAATACTTTTGTTTCTACTAAAAATAAAATGAAAGTTGTGCTCAAATAGGTGGCAAGCCCACATCTAATGGACTGACGTCTACTGCACACAGAGCTCCTGTGGGTCAGGCCTACGGGGCTGCCACTGTGGTTCAGGAGAATTGGCCATCAGAGCCCAGCGGCCACGTGCTCTTGAAACTTTCTGCATGCAATTGTCATTCCTGGTAAGACTTCCCCCAAAGTTCACTTAGGAGCTCCGTTTGCATGAGGGTACTTCAAAAGGTTCATGGAAAGATTAGCATTATCTTTCAATTCTATTTTTCTACAGACTTTTTGAAGTGCCCTTGTGCACTGCTGTCATGTATATGGCTCTAAAGAAACTGTGCTCAGTGGTGCCCTTAGGGATTCGTATTACATTCTCTACAGTGAGCCATAGAGCGGGTGAGTTCACGCCTTGACTCTGGGCCAGAGCACCTGGGTTCAAATCTCACCTCCACCACATTTAAGCTACCTAGCCTCATCTATAAAACTGAGGTGAGGTGATGATATAACGAATTAACAATATAAAATATTATTAAATTTATTATTAGATCATTTAGTTTTGCATAATAAAATTTTATATTTTTAATATAATTTAGCTGATTATATTTTATATAACAAATAATGTGAGTATTGTTTATATTTTTAATATAAATATCTAATGTTAAAATTGAGGTAATAATAAAATAATAAGCCATGTACAGTACCTGATGCACAGTAAGCATTTAATGAATGTTAGTTGTTGTTACTAATGCATACTATGACTGTTACCGCTGATGCCAGGCTATGTACACTGGCAAGTACAGAGGTAAGAAACAGCTTACCAGGTCAGTATGCACAGCTCTGACAAAGCCGTGAATCGAAAGATGGGTACAACGTGCTGCTTGTTTCCACATGTCATGTCAGATACCCAGAAACCACCTTATGCCCATCCGTGGGGGACTAGTTAAATGAGTTACGTACATCACTTAAAAAGAATGAGGCAGATGCTCTTGTTAGATGGACTGTCTCTAAGATACGTTACTAAGAGAACAAAGCAAAATGCAGGATCGTGTGTTGTGTCCACTTCCCCAGAAATGCTTATTGACTCTGAATATCTCTGCAAGGACCCAGAAGACTTGGGAAACAGTTGCTTTGGCCGAGAGCAATGCCAGGCTAGGAACTGAGAGTAGAAGAGAGACTTTCTTTTCACTGACCGTCTTATACTCTGATATTTTTTAAAACTGTTTTCTTCTGGAATACTTAATAAATTTTTTTAAAAGTCACTTGTTTGAAATAAGGCAGGGATGCTTCACCAATTGCCTCCCTACCTGCCCCCCCCCCCCCCCCTTCCCCCCCCCCCCACGTTGCCACCTGCTGATACTGGGCAAGGGAAATATCCCCATCTGGGGCGAGAGAGCCATTGCTGCTGGTGGGATTGCCTCCCAGCTTTCCTGTTTGTTGCGGCGGAAAAAAAATGTTGTGAACCACTGGAATAATGAAAGTTGTTAGAAGGCTCTTGCTGTATTTTCTCAAGTGTCTTACACACACACAAAATGAGCCCATGGCTACCTGGCTCTGAGGATAACAGCATTCTCTCTCAACAGTTCTCAGATGTCTGCAACATGTCCCCTCCCCTCTAACCCCGAGTCTCTGACGTCCCAGCCAATGAGAACAGGGTGAGTGTGGCTGTGGGTGAGGTCAGGCCACGCGGTGCAGGGAAAGAACAGACTTTAGGGTGAGCGGATCCCCCCAAAGTGCCTTCCTGGCTCTGGGATCCAGCAGCTTTGCAGCTATCAATTTCCTTATTCATCCAGGGGGTAATCCCAGATTTCCACATTCTTACAAACAAACGAAATGTAGGTAAAGTACTGACTGCATCCCAGGGCTCGGTACGTAGGAAGTACTAAAAAAAAAATGGCAGTTGTTTTTAGCCCTTGTCATTTGGACAGGAAATTTGTCCACCTATTGTAAAGCTGTGGTTTGTTACAGAAAAATCTTTCCAAACTTTTGTTTATTTCGAAAATCATCAATTCTGTTTAAGTATTAAAAAATCATAGGCAGAAAAACTAAAATACTCATTTCTTTCAATACTGCTTCCTTTTATTAGAGGCTCTCTTAAAGAATCAAAGCAAAATTAGTTATCAGTGATGCAGTCTTAATCTGCCAGGTAATATAGATTCATCTTGGTGTTAGTTTCTTTAAATTAATGCATTTATTTATAGACTCATGGAGATCATCTATCTGCCTATCCATCTATATTTTCATCTATCTATTATTTTTCTTTTCATCTATCTATCTATCTGGTTTATTGTAAATTCTTAAGTGAATGATCCTGTGTAAGTCAGATGTTCCACTTGTGACTTGAAATAGTTAAAACAACCTTTACAAGGCAGAATGCAGTTGATGTACTGGAGAAAAGAAAAATATGCATCCAAAGGATTTTTCTGACTATGTATTGATCAGGTCTTTTTTTGTGGATTCTGGAATGTGCAAACATCAAGCATAAAATCACCCTCGGGGGCTTTCGCAGGGCAAGGCAGCCTCTTCTTCCCACACACTGTGCATGCAGGGTGGGCTTAGAGTTCTCTGTTCATGCCCCACATTTTAAACTACAGCACTCCAGTGAAGACCCATCGCCACCGCAGGCTCTGCCTGTCTTAAGGGAAGCAGGAAAAGAGGCCGCCTATGCCAGGCATTTCTATTTCTTGGACTGCAGCTCAAAGCCTCTTTCCTGAGTCNTGTGCAAACATCAAGCATAAAATCACCCTCGGGGGCTTTCGCAGGGCAAGGCAGCCTCTTCTTCCCACACACTGTGCATGCAGGGTGGGCTTAGAGTTCTCTGTTCATGCCCCACATTTTAAACTACAGCACTCCAGTGAAGACCCATCGCCACCGCAGGCTCTGCCTGTCTTAAGGGAAGCAGGAAAAGAGGCCGCCTATGCCAGGCATTTCTATTTCTTGGACTGCAGCTCAAAGCCTCTTTCCTGAGTCTGACCCACGGTGGGGCTGGGGCACCACAAATTTCCTACAAATAGTAACATTCCCTGTGTTCCCTTTTCTAAAATGCATTACCCTATTGGTTGATATTACATAGCTTATCTATTCAGCAAACTCACCTACCCCAGAATTGAGCAATGCACTTGGAAGTAAACAAAATTCAACAGAAAGATTCTGCCCAACAGCCATCAATGCCTCCCACCGAACCCATATCCTTGACTCACAAAAGAGCCCCTTGGACCATTATGCAGTGCCTGTTTATACTTTTCTCAAGCTCGTTTTCATTGCAAAATGCATTATAGTTACTATTTGAAGATTAAACAGAGCAACAGTAAAGCTACCACCAGACACAACCACTCGCCTGAATTGGTGTTACTCCATTCGTGGCTTTTGTGTACAATTTACCTACCTGTTAGGTTTCCATAACCAATATATTTTCTTCTTCTTCTTCTTTTTTTTTTTTTGGTGGCTGGGCGGCACAGGGAAATAAACCCTTGACCTTGGTATTGCAAGGTGGTGCTCTAACCAACTGAGCTAACCAGGCAGCCCTGCTATAAATGTATTTGCAATACCAAAAATATGGATAGCAAGCTCAAAGCTAGCTGTTTTAAGGTAAGGACATCATTGCATCTATTAGACAAAAGCTTCCAGGACAGAGTTCAGCGGATTGGCTGGCCATAGCTACCCTGAGAGTTTATGGGATGTGATTTTGGGGAAGAAAGTGGCAAGCCATGCAGGAGTCCTGTGCACAGGGGGCTGACCGCTGCTGGCATTGGGCAGGGCAGGCGTGTGACAGGCAGGCTGGCTGCCAGGAAGAGGGGTGGGTGACGAATCGCGGGCTGCTCTGGATCTTCTGGTCCTGATCTCACCGTGCTCAACTGCAGGCTTAAAGTCAGGTGAGGCAGGGCACTCTCTGCAGTGAGAGTTGGGCCCTGAGCCGACCCAAGCAGGGCAGGGGAAGGCGCGTAGTTTCGAGGACCTTACCAGCCCATCATCAAGACCAGCTGAGAAGAGGCATGAGTCTGGGGCAGGGGAGGGCACCAGCAGCCCCTGCAGACCCTTAGTACAAAATGAGGAAAAGGTGTCCCTCCCTCAAGACACTTCACTTCCACTGGCCGGGAAATGTCATCATAAATCAATTTGATTTAAAAAGATATTTTACTGCTTTCTTTCAAATATTACACAAATACTTCCTGTTCTCAGATAAGCCTGTATTGAGCCACTGCCCCTGATGGGCACACAATTCTAATTAATAACTGGGGCAATTTGGTTCACAGCAGAAAACTGGAACATTAGCGTGGTTGCTAGGGAGAGGGGCCCACACCGCAGCTAGACTCTGCCAGTCAGATCCCAAAGGAAAAGCAAGAAAACCATGCAAAGCAGCACACAAGCAGCCAGTCAGATCCCAAAGGAAAAGCAAGAAAACCATGCAAAGCAGCACACAAGCTGAGAGAACAGCTGTCTGGGGGCATTCAATAGTCCAAAGCAGGTAAAGGACACATAGAACATGTTCTAGAATCATTCAT